CTCTCCAAACTTGCCCATTTTTGCCCTTACTCATTTTCCCCCATGGCATTCTCCAAATGAAGCTTGTCTGTTTTCTTGAGTTATTTTGTCTATTTTTGTTTCTGCACTGTATCCTATTCAATATTTTTGGACAACTTTAATTCCTTAAATGCAACCTCTTTTTGTGTATCATTTAAAATTGTGTCTTATCGCTCGCATAGATTGGTATCTCTTTTTGCAATTTACTGATGCTTAAAAATGAAATTTTCCGCTAATTGCATGGTTCTAATTTTTTTTTGTTTATGTTGCGATTAATTCTAGTTAATTATTGTGCATTTGCGGTTTCTATTTTTAGTAACTATGTTGAAACAAAAAATTATCTTCTATTTTCCATTTAGTAGCTACTTTAATATTTATGTGTTTTTATTAATGTTTTTTTGCTTTATTCATTTTGTTGTGACTCTATAGAATTTACTTGAAGCATTGACATGTAAGCGGTGAAAATCAAGGCGGTAATAAATTTTTTTATTTTTTCAATGTTTTAATTAACTATAGTATTTTGTTAGCATAGTTTTATTAAGTTTAAAAAAGATTATTTTTGACTGAGGTTCTACTATGGAAATATAGAAATATTATATGAACAGTATGTCGTCAATCTTACTACTACCTCCATCTCATAAAATATAATTGAAGGTCAACTTTTTTTCTTCTACTTTTAAAATTTGAATCCCTCTAACACTCTTCTGGTATTTTCTTAATTTCCTCAATTCAAATTACTCTGTCCTTTTCAGACACTGCCCTGACAGTTTTCAATACCCCTTCCCATTTCCAATTTACCCATTCTTCCCCCACCACTCATAATGATAAATCCCCAATCTAAATCGCTGTTGGGTTGGCCCCCCTTTCTTCCCAATTGGCCCCAATCCTTCCTCCCCTCCCACTCATTTTCCCCTATGGCAATTTTGAAATCACAATTGCCCATCCACATTTCGAATTGCCCCCTCTCCAATTTGGCCCCAATCCTTTCCCCCACTCATTTTCCCCACGGCATTTTCCAATTTACATTTGCTCCAAACCCTCTCCCAATTAATTTACCCCTTCTTTCCCACTATCCAACACTCCCCCATGACAATTTTCAAAACAAAGTTGCACTACCATCCTTTAACCGCAATCGACCATTTCATTCACCCATACATATTCTCTCATTAAACGACAATTTACCAGATGCAATTCTTTGTTTTTTCCAGTTACTTTTTTTTGAACCATCTACTTGATCCTTTTCAATATGTCTATTTTTTTGAATAAAAAACCTTTTTTTATATATTCTACGACTATGTCCTCTTTTTTTATAGGTTAGTTTTCACCTTTTTTGTTATTAATTTTTAAAAAAAATAATCCTTGCGTTTATGGCGTGTCTGTAGTATAGCGTGTCAAGGCAGCTTTAAAATTTTACTTATTATCGTTATTTTTATTGTCTATCTTTTTAGTAAATATTGTAAAACTAAACTAAAAATTATTCGCTTTGGCCAATTTAGTGGATAATGTACAAATATAGTCTTTAAAATTAATTCTTTTTTTGCTTTGTTGAGTTTTATGTCTTCATATCATATTTACTTTGAATATTTAATTGTAATAGTTGAAAATTAAGTCAATGATTAAATTTTTTAGCAATGTTTTAAATGTTTCAACTAACTATATTAAATTGTTATTATATTTTCTTTAGAAATTTAGTAAGAAGATTATTTTAGAGTAAAAATGTATTATGAATGCATGGCAACATTATGTAAACAGTATGTAACTGAACTTTCTACTACTTCTATCTCATAAAATGTAACTGAAGTTCAAATTTCAATCTTTTGCTTTTCGAATTGGAATTTTTCAAACACCCTTCCTGTACGGACTCTCCCAAGATTTTCAATTTACACTCAGTCCTCTTTGCACACTGTCCTCAATTTCAAATGCCCCCATTTCTAATTTACCCATTCTTCCCCGCATCCATAATGGCAATTTCCAAATCAACACGGTCGCCTTTGGGTTGGCCCCTCTTCAATTTCCTCACACCCTTTCCCCACCCATTTTCCACCCATCGCAATTCCCCACTCTCTCCCATTTCCAATTTACCCATTCTTTCCCACCCCACACCCATAATGGCAATTTTCAAATCAAAATTGCGCGGGCCCATTCCAAATCGGCCTCTCTTTCCAAATTGCCCATCTTTCCCATTAGCAGAAAAAATCACTAAAAAGTGTGTATTGTATACTGGTACTCATCATATTATGCAGAATCAAACCCAATGGAAACAACAAAATCTTCATTTTAGAGTATACCAATATGATTCAACATTGGGTCAATTGTAGAAACAATGGATTCAAACGACTTTCGGTCAACGATCTGTTTAGAATTTGAAAGTAATTTACAACTGTCAGGGAGAGAATGTGGGGATTTTCTCCCATTATGATTCTTGTCAAGCAAACTATCAACTAGATTGTCCTCTGTGTATTTAGATGAAAGAATACTAGTACTCGTTGGTACTTCGTCTGCCAAGTCTACTTGGGTAAATTCTTCCAATAAATCCATACAATCGTGAAGCAATCGTATTAAATAGACTATCGAGAATATATAAATACTATATGAACCAAAGTCTAGGGTATAACTACTCTTCTTATGGGACAGAGAGTTTTATAGTGCCACGATAAAGGATCTTGATGAGCTAAAAGACTCTCATAATAGACGGACAACCCAGTGTGGTCCAAACAACCCATTTCATTCTATTAGCACTGTCCAATCCAGTCCGTATTTAACTGGAGAATGAACAATGAAACTACTCCTATTTATATCACCTAGCTGGTATATATCTTTTTCTATGGTTATAACTTGCCTTTGACCCGCAAATCAACTATCTGTCTAAAGTGAATTCTTAAATCACCTTTTTGAATAGAATTGTCCACTACTATTCCTCAAATACTGGAATCAGTCAATTTTACTAATCCAAGTGCAATTATTTGTCAGTTGATAAATAAATATGCTAGTATAACACAAAGCAATCAATCAGTCAATCAATGAATCAACACAAGCCAAACTCAATTCTTCATCCATAAAGATAACAAAGAGTCTGCTGTGAAAGGTATCCTGTACTAGTAAAAGCGGTACCAGGTTATCAACTTGATTTTGTAATAACTTAATATAACAAAGATAAGAGACAACTTTTTTCACCAAAAAAAGTAAACGGACATAACCATTTGTCTCAGCATGACTTGAAATACTAACAATCAAAGGTTATGATCAAAGTACTTCTTCGTCAATCTTCTCAAGTTGTCAGGTGGATTCAAATCTTTCAAACATAAAACCGAATGTTTGCCTTCTTCTATTTAAAATAGGAATGATCTCTAAAAGTTGCCGAGCATACAGTTCCGTCCAATTCAGTTCAGTTCCCTCGTATGCATATGATTCTGCAGTTAACTACAGCAATTTGAAAGTCTCATTATCAAATCAATCTTTGATGGAACAGATTGAAGTCAAGTGAATTCTATCAAAACTATAAAAGTCATAGCCATAAAACTTGATAGTCTCAACGATACCAAGGCTTTTATGAAACTAAGTTACAGGAAGAGGTGTATGATAAACAGTGGAAAAAGTTTAAGGAAAATTTCGAATAGCATATAATAGGTACTCCTCAAATACAGTATT